CCCCAAAACCCCAAAACCCCAAAACCCCAAAACCCCAAAACCCCGGCTTTTATTGTTTATATTGAAGCAAACTTTAACTTTTGGTATTTAATATACCTTATATTTTTGAGCAATGTCTCCGAAGTATTGGTACTTTACTGAAGATGGGATCCATGGCTTATATGTTAATACTTTTAGTCCCTTGCCAGCTTTCTCTTTCCTAGGTCTTCCTCCTCTCCTCACTCCTTTAAATAATTGAGGGTACTTTTTGAGGAATCTATTGTTGATTTTCCCAGGGCTTTGCTTCTTCTCCTTTTTGGCGCTCTTCTTTTGAGTAATTTTTGGAAGAACAAAGCTATCATTGCTCTCTTGAACACCCACAGATTTGTAACGGTTTACACGAAATGCAGGATCATGTTCTGGAGGAGAAGTAGATCTGTCTTCTCTCATAAAAGGTTTACGAGGCCCCATGTAATCGCTATCATACTCCTCTGCATCATTGTTAGCATAAGGATTCATTAGCCTGCTGACATTTCGACTTTCTTCTTCATATTCAAACCTTTCATTTACTTGATCCATGCTATTATCTCTTCTGGGGATCAATTTTTGCTTTCCAATATTTTGGAGGCTTAAAGAATGTGAATTCCTCGCATCACCTGCATTACTGTATCTTCTCCTATATTCTGAAGACTGATCTCCATAACTTTTATCTCTATCATGCATAGCTGTGAAGATAGCTCTAGGCATGTGTGAGTATACTGATCTGTTAAAGGCATCATTAGGATCATTTTTCTCATTTGAGAACTGATAATTTCCTGGTTCAACGTACATATTGTTGACAAACTGTCCCTCTCTAACTGTGCCATCTGAGAAGGTCATTTTGCCTTTACCATTTTGAATACCCTCCTTCCATTCACCTTTGTAAAAGCTCCCATCTGTCCAGTACATTTCCCCGTAGCCTTCTCTCTTGTCATTAACATAGTTCCCTCTGTATTCATTGCCGCTTGGCCATTTGTAAATTCCAATGCCATGCTTTTTATCAGCAAGGTATTCTCCTTCATAGGAAGCGCCGCCATCCTCTTTTTCTTGCCATTCGCCTTTTCCATGCTTGCAGCCATCTTTAAATTGGCCAACGTAGATAGCTCCTTTGGAGTACTTGTATGTGCCAATACCTTCGAATTTTCCATATCTGTACTCGCCTTCGTAAGTGTCTCCATTATGGAAATAGTCTTTTCCTTTCCCATGTTTGAGAGACCTGTACCATTCACCGTCATATTTGTCACCGTTTGACCAGAGATGTACTCCAAAGCCATGGGCTTTTCCCTTGGACCACTCTCCGTCATAGTATTGGTTGTTGATGCCTTTCCAGATTCCTTTGCCCTGACGCATTCCTTTGTACCACTCACCATCATAGGTTTCACCATTTTGCCAGACGTAGACTCCTCTGCCATGAGCCCTGCCCATCATATACTCTCCTTGATAAATATCTCAATCTGTATTGTCTTTAAGATCTTGGCTAGAACCTTCATTGCCTGAGCTCTGGAATCGTTCGTATCCGATTCCTTCTCTTTTGTTGTTCTTCCAATTTCCTTCATAGACCCTTCCGCTATCATAAAGGAGGATACCCTTTCCTTCTTTGTGACAACGGGCGTCCTCGAATTCTTTAACTTGACCATAATAAATTGAATTTCTGTAAGTTATTTCCATCATCTTGTAACCTTCTTTTTTCAATGTTTCAAAGGAGAATAAGCCACTCATAAGTTTAGTTTCGAGGTCCTTCAATTTCATTTTCTTATTTTAGCTTTGCATTGTTTTTCTTTTTGTTATCCATTTCAGGAGTCTCTTGTTGGTTATTCATCAACATCCTTTCTTTCCTCTCATTTCTGGGATTACTACCACTTCGAGAGCGCTCTTGTGAAGGGGATTTTCTGAAGCCAATTAGACCATCTTGAGCGTTATCTTCGTCTAAATGATCAATAAATTTATCCGAACTTTTCTGTAACTTGTGTAAAGTCTTATGCTTTTGTTCTGCTCCATGCCGGCTGTCAGGACTTCCTCGGTGTTGGGCCATGAGGTTCACAGATATGCCTCCATCACCATAATTTTCATCATATTTTTCATCCTCAGTAAATCCTGCTGAATAAAAGCCACCTTCATCTTGGTGTTCGTTCTCCTCATTCCTTTGAGCAATAAAGGGGTTTTCAGAATTTATGTGAGCTTCCATTAATTTTATTTCTATAATTAATAATACTTTTGGGGTTTTGGGGTTTTGGGGTTTTGGGGTTTTGGGG